AGATTCTTCACATTGTTATGAGTATGACTGCTTTGTATTTTGTTTTCCTCTCTCTCTCTCTCTCTATGGAGTAGAACCCTTTCTCACTTGGGTATGAAGAACCCTAGTTCCATATGTTAGGGATCATGATTGTAATGACTTGGGATTGCTATACTGTTTGGTTTTAATCGAATGATGCATGATTCATTGAATTAATTGAAGTCTGATCAGCTTTTTTTGATTTCTGCTACAACCTGAGATAGATAGAATCTGATTAGGTTGTTAGAGCTTCATCATTCGGTAGTAGTGGATTGGTTATACGAGACTTAGTCAGTCTACTGCTTTGTACTGGAATCCAATTCCAGTAGTGGAGTTCTATGCTTATTGCTTCAGCTTTCTATCCCGGTGAAGACTAGCCGTCTGCCGGGTAGTTAGACTGAGAGGGCTTGGTCAGCTTAAGAGATTCCAAGCTACTGTCGGATCTTCCGCAATTTAATCAACAGTAAATCAACCCAGGGGAATTACAACTAAGACCTAACTAAGGAGCTAGGGGGCCTCATTCCCGAGTGACTCTTCCTTTGCTTCAGAAAATCAAACCATTTCCTGCTTTCTTACTTCTTTTAGTTATAACCACAATCAATCGGCTTAGTTGGCTAGATAATAGATATTCACGGAGTAGGCAGTAGATCTAGACCCCGGGTTGATAATTAGAACTTGCCACTTTACTGCATTCCTGGACTGCGATTATACTTGGTCGCAGTTTGGTGTTGTGTCGTAGCGTGTCAGTTATACCAACCTCGCAACTTCTACGGGATCGCTTGGCACTTCAATGCAGGGATGACCTGCCAAGAAGTCTGCCAATGCTTTCCCTTTTATGGCTCGTTGAGGTACATACTCTAAATTAAATTCAGACAGAGCCAAGGTCCATTTGCCAATTCGGCCATGAATAATTGGCTGAGATAGCATGTATTTAATCAAGTCTGTTTGGCAAATGAGTTGTACCTAGACAGGGACCAGGTAGTAGCGTAGCTTTGTACAGGATAAGTACAAAGCTAAACACAACTTGTTTATGGGGGAATATTTTCTCTCGCCCTCGTTTAGAAGCCTACTTAGATAATAAATGGCCTCTTCATTGCCTGCTTCATTGTCTTGAGCAAACAAACACGCCACTGAAGAGTCCGTGGCCGACAAGTACAACTTCAGCGGCACCCCTGCTTTGGGAGAGTTCATCACCGGCGGAGTCGCCAGGTATCTCTTGATATCATCAAACGCACGTTGATGTTCTTCCCTCCATACAAACCTGTCTTCCTTCTTCAACTTCAACAATGAGGAAAACACTTGAGTCCGGCCAGCACAATTCGAGATGAATCTTTAAATGTAGTTTACCTGGCCGATGAAACGTTGCAACTCTTTTTTACTGGATGGTGGTGCGGCATTGATGATGGCTTTTGTTTTATTGCCTTCTACCTCAATTCCACGTTGGTTTACCAGAAAACCAAGAAAATTTCTTGCATTCACACAAAACGCACATTTGAGCGGATTTAATTTCAACTTATGAATACGCATACGCAGAAATGCTTTGCACAAATGAGCAAGGTGGTGGTTTGTCACCTTTGATTTGACGACGATGTCGTCCACGTACACTTCGACAAGCTCGCCAATCAAGTCATGAAATATTGCATTCATGGCTCGTTGGTAAGTTGCCCCGGCGTTGGCCAATCCAAATGGCATCATGATCCACTCGAAACAGCCAATGGATCCTGGACACCGAAACGCCATTTTGTGCACATCCTCCTCGGCTATGTATACCTCCAAAGCAGTCTTTAAACTCTTTAAGAAATTCAACTAATTCGTACCTGTCAGACTCTGGCAAACCGACACTGATGAAAATACATACTATATTAAGATAATCTACACTACTTATAATACATTTTAAAGAGTTTGATTTGCTCCATTTCAAATTTTGTGCAACTATAGTGAAAGTAGGAAAGGTAACCAATTAGAATAGACAAATTTTTTTTTATTTCATATGAAAAAATATCAATGCTAGGATTTGAACCATGGTCTCTTCCACCAAAAACAAGAATTGTAACCAATTAGAATAGACAAATTTGTTGTACTTTATTAATACAAAACATAGAGGAAGTATGAAAAACAAAGTACTTTTCTATCATGTTAGTTAGCCCGCTAAGTCTCTTGTAAGTATTTTGTGGTGTTTGATACTTCTATTTTCATATTTTTTCTAACTTATAAATGAAGGATAATCTTAAAATCTCAACACAAATATCAATGGTTTGAATATTGCGCATTGAACTGAAGTGTTCAATGACGACATAAGAACACTGGTACCATACATTTCAAGAAAAATAAACATGACAATCACCGATACCAATTATCTCGACAGTCTATGCTAAAATTCGAAATTGTTTAATCATTCAATTTGAATGATAGTTTAGCAAATCAAGCAAATAATTCACGATTGTGTATGAAAAAAAATAAAAACATATGTATTGTATTATGAAAAATGTATTTATTTTAACAATCTAAAAAAAACAATAAAAACTTCCATACGACCCCTTATTTCAATAATGTAATTAATGAAATAATTTTTATCAGCATGATGCAATGTTCAAGCTAAGGTCCAAGTATTAATCACCAGTATATAGTATTCATCATAGTTAACTATTTCAATATCCACATCTAACTAATAATGGTTACTTGCTTTTTCTTAGAGAGTTTAATGTAGCACTCTCATGCCTAGCTATGCTCTAAGCATTTGTTTTCTTTTCCACAATATCATTTGCAGTTATTTATTAAATCAACTTTGTTTCTAGCTTTCAATTCCTAATTATTCACTTCTTCATACCAACTTATGGGAATGCTAAATATATTTTTCATGTCTAATCTATTAAACATAAATGTTGCTTATCGCATAAATTTAATGGTATCCATGTTAGGTTTGATGTCACCAACATATTCTCCAAATTTCTCCAAAAAGCATAATATCTTGCGATTGATATCATAGTTCCGTTAGTTAAAGTTCAACAAACTCAATCAATATTCGAACTCTTCGAAATAGCTATCTACATGCGAATATGAAGTACTGAATAGCTAAAACTCTACTTGAGTTAGTACAATATTTTGCGCTATCAATTCAAAATTAATACATGATTATCTTATTACAATTTAGTCATAGTAATTGTGCAGTAGGGGACATCTTATCAAAATCTTAAAGAAAGACTCTTTGATTGATCGGTTTCATGATGTAATCAATTATACCAAAATAGAAGTGATCAAATTTATAAGATGCACTCAAAGTTTGCTATAATTATTGAGGTTCAGCAGCACGTTAGGCGTACGGCGGTCATTGGACATTTGTCTATCTCCTAGCTTGCCTAGAAATGCTTAGACATTATAATAAAAATAGCAATTTGAATAATAATGAATAAAATAACGGTTCTGAAGCACTTTGATACTTTAGTTCAAATGATTTAGCAACAAACGAAATAACACTCAAGTTTATAAATTATTTTCTTTTACCAAATGATATTATTAATTAATTCATGAGCTGAAATAGCTAATTATAAGCACTTCAAATTTAAGTTGAAACTCTATATAATGCATTTGTTTGACGAAATGGGTTTTATAATAGAGTGGTTCTATCGAGAGAGGACTCTAAGAAACATGGCTTACTTTATTATTCCTTAGGTGGATATAATATCTATTTTCATCGTTACTTTTTACATTGGATTCAATTTAGTATACTTTTTCATTTAGATAGATTTTTTATGATGTTCTAGGATATAATATATCATTATATATGATGGTGTAGGATATTAATTCCTCTAATTTTAGGTTCAAATTGATGCATTTTCTCCCTTACCGTTCCCTTTTATTGGGTAATAATTTTTATGATATTTTTCACTTTGAAATATCATGAGCGGAATCTATACACAAAAATTTGTGTTTTTTTTTTTTTTTGCTTCCTCTTCTCTTGGTTAGATATTGTGTCCATATTGATTCCTATATTGATTATGGAACTACTACTTTTTTGTTCTTTTTCTAATGCAAGATATGATTTTATGTTTGATAATCTGATTTATTTTTCAAGCATGTGGATGCTTGAAACTTTTCATTTGCCTCATAACTTACTTTCTACAATGTCTCAAAACTTGGATGGGTTTCTATTAAGCACATAAATTTTTAATGATGTAAAATTTATGAAACTAAGATGCACATTTATAAACAATGTAAGGTTTCATCTTTCCTCTTAAGCATTACATATCATTGTTTACTTTCCATTAAATCAAAGTCTTTCTAACTTGAGTAAGAGCTACAATGACTTTTATTAATTTTCACTACTCATATATCACAAGTGTTCAAATCATTATCAAGTGTTCATACAATGACTTTTATTGTTGTGGATTTCCCCCAAAATGTTAGGTATGCTGCTTTTAGTTTTTGCCTTCTTTTCGCTTTGATTTAGCTTTTTATGTGTTGCTCTATTAGTTGAACTTGTCAGCTGGAGATTTGCATGCTTTGTTTCATTATATCATTGAATACACTAAAGTCAATGGAACCATGATTGTGTCAATTAGTTTGTTTCTTTTTAAGGACACTCTAAACATATACTTTGTTTCATTATATCATTGAATACACGAAAGTCAATGGAAAATGCAAAAAAAAATTATCGTATACTGAATATTGATTATGTATGTGTGATGTAAAAAATATGAACCATAAATAAGATTGATTATGTATGTGTGATGCAAAAAAAATATGACCCCGAACTTCAATCCCCAACAACATGAACCATAATAAAAAATATGCCTCAATGTTTACTACACATACACATGAAAATCAAACTCTCCCGGCCAAGAGGTCAAGCCCTAATCTAGTGATTTGAGAGACACTTTAGTAATCATTTTATTCTTTTTAACTTAACATTGCACTTGTTTGTTTAGGATGAAGCCATAAATTTCTCGAAACTTCGAAAATCTCATGTGTATCCGTTGACATACGGTAAGACGGTGATGAGATCTGATACATCCGAATCGTATGCAAGGTAGTATTCAGTCATTTTCTACAATTACTTAATTTTGTTCAAGCAGTTGCTCTGGAACAACTAATAATAAAGTAATTCAATGTGTTTTATTTTTGCTCAGAAACTGCGTTCCTGGTTCCATAGAGAATGCTAAAGTGAATGGAACCATCGTTCTGTGCGAGAACAAGGATCCAGATTACTCAGGTTTTGGGAAGGTATTAGAAATGCAGTACAATGGAGGAGTAGGTGTAATTTTTATTGATGATTTGAAAAGAAGAGTTGCTTCTACTTTCAAGGACTTTCCAGCTGTAGTAATCAGCTCCAAAGATGCTACTGAAATCCTTTCTTACATCAACTCAACCAAGTAAGGCGTCTCAAGGATTAACTATACTTTTAGTAGAGAATATATAGAGCTACCCACTGATTAATTAACATGAGCAATCTCATCAGAAACCCTGTTGCAACAATTCTAGCTACCGTGGCAACTCCCAAGTACAAACCGGCACCTGAGATTGCATACTTTTCTGCCAGAGGTCCTTCCCAAAATTCAGAAAACATCATCAAGGCAAGAGAACCCCATATATATGAATATAAAAAGACTAATCAACCAAACCAAACCTCTGGCTCTTTATACTGACTATCTGCATTTGAAACTTTGCAGCCTGATATTGCAGCACCCGGAGTAAACTTTGCAGCCTCAAGGCAAGGACCCATCGATGTTCAATGTAATCTCTGGAACTTCCATGTCTTGTCCACACGTGTCAGGCATTGCCGCAGTGGTTAAATCGCACAACCCTTCGTTCGGCCCTTCTGAGATCAAATCCGCCATTATGACAACAGGTTCAAATCGATACTACTATCCTAATCCAAGTTTCAGTTTTCGTTATTTGTTAGTACGTACGTGGTAACAATCCGATATATGGGAAACAACTGTTTTTTTATATGATATTAGTCTTCTGTTATTTAGAAGTTTTGTATTCCAATCCTCAAAACTCTTAATTACTTGTTAACCACGTGATATTTGGATTTGTACAAACTTCAGTATCTTACATGTAACCTAAGATCTATTATTGAATGGGTTGACAACTAATTTAATGCTGTTTTTGGACCTTGCAGCATCACAACTGAACAACGACAAGTCGCCAATAACCACACACTCCGGCGCAACAGCCACGCCCTTCGACTACGGCGCCGGAGAGATGAGCCCAACCGCGCCGCTACAGCCGGGGCTAGTCTACGAGACCACCACCGTCGACTACCTCAACTTCCTGTGCTACCACGGCTACAACACCAACACCATCAAGCTCATCGCCAAGTCCATCCCGCCCAACTTCGCCTGTCCCAACAACTCCACCCCCGACCTCATCTCGGACATCAACTACCCCTCAATATCGGCCAAGCTCAACAAGAAACAGAGTAGGAACGTCGCTACTGGCGATTGCAATTCAATCGTACACCTTATCAACAAGCATCGGTAGTGGCAAAGGTGTGGAAGTACAAGTCTCTCCGTCTCAGCTTAAGTTCACAAAGAGAGGCCAGAAGCTGACTTTCTACGCGATGTTTTCGACCATGGCTGGTTCGTTGGTCGAAGGGGATGTGTTTGGGGCAATTACATGGAGCAGCTCCAAGTTCAAAGTCAGGACTCCATTTGTAATGAGAAGCACATCATACTTCTAATGTAATAACCGATCAGAAGTAAAAATAAGCTCTCAATTACCTCCACATAGATATAACAAGCAAACAATAACGAAACCTTGGGAAACACCATAATTAAGTCGTGATCAAACCAAACCAGCTTAATCATCGCTACATGATTTAACTCGTACATTATTAACAAACAGCCTTTACATCAAAATGTTATTGAGAAACGAACAATAAAGATTTCCTGGCAAACACATGATGCAAGAACACATAAGAAGCTACTACCAAGTACATGGATGCAGATTTGGAACCAAAACACACGACCAACGAGATTGTCCATTGTAACCGTTTCCTGTATGAACAATCAACATGGAGTAGCTAGAAGCCATAGCAAGGAAAGACGGATAATTTAGCAAACAGGACACTGAACACATAAAAGCCAGATTCATATCAGACCAATTAGGAAACAGAGAAAGTTATATCACAAGTTCACATAGATCTGAGAGACGTCTGGAGGGGATCATTGTGTGTTCATGGAGGGGAAACAAGGATGATAGAGAGGCTGAACGCTGGAAGCACAAATTTTAAAACAGAGAGACATTCTGGAGAAAGAGCGGTTAAAGGAATCACTCGAAGGCCCATTGGTTCTCCCTACGAACTTCCTCTTCTTCCTCCGGTGTGAAGTCGTTCTTGATGTTGAAGGTCTTGCGGATTTCCTCTGGAGTTTTCCCCTTGATCATGTCAGCCACCGTCTGGCAAGTTAGGTCCAGCAAACTCTTGATGTTGAGATAGTTTGCAGCCTGCACAGAGAAAAGACCACAAACCCAACAGAGTTCAACCCACCATCAGTATTCTCTTTTAGTCTAATATAGCTAGTTTAACCAAATGTTGACACTTTACAACCCTAACTGTTCAAAGCATAAAGATAGAAGTCAACAATCTGAATCCCTAATCCATTGGTTCAACTTTCTCAAAATGAACAATTGAAAGTTCACCCCAAATTAGGGGATCCCCAAACCCTAACCCTAGAAATCAAATTTCAACCAATCAAACGCACAAATCAGGAAAATCAACCAATAGTAATAAACCAGAGAAGAAATCTAAGCGTGTTCGATAAAATGAGGAGACGGTTACCAGGATCAGGTCGAAGAGAGTGGCCTGGTCGACCTTGACGAAATCGGCGTCCCAGGTCTTGAGATCGTCGTCAGCGGAGGAAGGGCGTTCCTCGGTCTTGGAAGCGGCGGCCTCGACGTGCTTCTTGCAGTACTCGATGACCTTGGATAGGATCTTGCTGGTGACGTTGGGTAGAGGGATCCCGTTGTCAGCGCAGTCGTCCTCGATCATGTGCTTGATGGTCTGCGACTCCAGCGCCACCGCCTCATCAACCTCGAACGTCTCACCGTCGGAGCTCTTCAGAGTGATCTTCCTAATCGCCGCCGACATCTTTGCGTTTTCCCTGGATTCTATCGGCGAGCAAGGTTTTTCCTCCGATCGAAGAGAGAAAACTTAGATGTAAAATGGAAAGAGAGAGCCTTTTTTTTCCTCGCTTTCCTGAGGGTAATAGAGAACGGTGAGGAAGATAAGAGGGCTATTTATGGACGTATTTTTATTTTGCGGGAGAATAGATTAAAATCCTTTTCCTTGTTGAATAATGGTAAGAAAATAATTATTATTCCGAATAAGACAAAGGGTTAATTACTTAATCGTAACAGCGATTTGTGACCTTACTATGGGCAAGTAATTTCCACTGATCTGACGGCTAACCATATCCTAAGTTCCATTGCTTCAGACACGTATCAACCGTTGGATTAGCTAGATTATCTGTTTTCGTAACTGTTAGATTTGTAAATGACACTCCAGAAATGGGATGGGATTAGGTGCTAACCCTTATAGGGGTTAGCACCGTGATAACTAGCAAAAAACGCTACTAAAAATAACGAAATCACTACGGATTATTATAAAATCAATACAACATCTAAGCTAAATCGCTACTAATTCAAACTAGTAGTAGTTTTTCCCTTGGTTAGGACGGTGCTAACTATTGTACAATTAGCACCGTAACCGCTCCCTCCAGAAATGACATACAAATATGTACATTCGTCAAATCCACACGACGCGACACACGTATCTAACGTTAGATTAGCTAAATTATATATCTTCGTAAGTCGTAATTGTTAGATTGGTAAATGATGCTCATGAAATGACATACAAATACGTACATTCGTCAAACCCAAGTGGGTGGAGCTATCCTGCAAGAGATTCAGGTGTTATTCGTTTCATTCTTTCGTGCTACGTTTCATCTCTCTCGTAAGTATAATAGGGTTGTCCATACCATGGTAAAACAACTCAATGGAGTGATGGTTCATAAGCTTGTCAACCATCATGTTTTTCTTATAATTTAATTTCCTAATCACGACCTTATTATAGGTCTTATATCATATCTATAATGTTTCTCTATAGGATAACAATGGATAATAATAATAATAATAATAATAATAATTATTATTGAAAGAAATAAAACTCCAGCAACCAGATCACTAAACCACCATTCTAGTCTAGGGTGTGGGCGAGTACATGTGTTCTCTACTTAGTTTTGGATTATGTAGTTTGCTTTGAACTATTGGCGGGGACTTGGGTTGGAGAGAGCAATTCTCTTGACAATTCCGTTCGTCCAATTGTGACCACATGGAAACTAAGTTTCTTTCTGGTTGCACTTTCCCTGCGTTGATCATGCGGAAGCATTGGTTTCACACTTGGATGCTTATTAGGGTTTGGGAATCTTTGGGGTACGAGTGGATATTTTCGCGGGTTTCAAGGCCGTCAAAATGGTTATGTCATGGCGCGCTACCTTATTTTCATATACTCATCATTAGGAAGAGAAGGAAAGTTTACCCCCCACCCACCTATGGTTAGTCTGGCTCTTTCCTTCATCATATGAGGTTTCGGGCGCGGTATCCAATTGTCGCCTCAATTGCTCGGTCAGGTCAGAGAAAAAAGTTATCAGTTTGGCTGCTGCCTGTACGGTGAGCTAGAGCAAAGATCGTGGGTTATCTTTCTCTCAAGGTTATTTCATCTTTCTTTCGTTCGTCTTTCTTCTTTCTCAGCGAGTTCTTCAACTCCTCTCCTTTACACTTTTCCATCTCCTCATTTGCTACTATGTTTTATGATTTTCCTCTTACTTTCATTCAAGCAATATGGATGCAACGCTATTGTGTAATCTGAATGGTGGGAGTAGGGATGTTACTCTTCTCTTGCGCCTGTTGCACATGTGGTTAGCCAAGCCAACTTCCACCCCCATTGTGTACCATAATTGTTGTCTCTGGGTGGACCAGATAGTATGCTCCCTGGAAATATACATAGAAACCTTTATCGTGCTCGCTCTTTGGATTTGATAATGGGTAGAACTAGGACAACGAGTTTCCAACAATGCACTCTCCCAGCAGCAGATTTTCCCATTGATTCGTTTGAGATCGTCTCATACTCCGAGTTGCCAAAACGCACTAGGAATCATCGCATTCTCTCGGGTTTGTTCTGTGGTGTTTTTGTTTCATGTTTTTGTTATGGTTTGTTTGGTGAATTCTTTCTTCTGGTTTATTACAGACGATGTTAGTCGTCTCCATTCAATCAGCGGAATTGATTATAAGCTTACCACTAATGGATCCACACCTAAGCAGGTCTCAGTGCTTGAGAATGGAGAGTATGTATTTTTCTGATTATACCCTCTGCCATTTTAATTAATTTGTGTTCTCTTTTTCTGTGTTTGGGTACTGTTTAATCTGTGTTTAATATATTTTTTATAGGAATCAAAGGGTGTCCATTACTCTTTGGAACGAACTTGCTGAGTACCTGGATCGTGCTGCTTTGATTCAGGCGGACCCCATTGAACTAGTCATTCTTGTAGTCGGGGGCCTTATGGTTGGCCGGGTGATATGTGTTGTTTTCTTATTGGTTTTCCCTTGGTTGGTTAGAGTTTTATTATTTGCTTTTGGTTTTTTGTATGGTTTTTACAAGTCAATTTGTTTGGCAGACAGTGAGTACACATGCTCCAGTTCATAAAGAACCCGTATATCGGTGAACCCTTGCATACCAGAGGAATATCATCTATCGATTATGTATGTTTCTCATAAACTTTTACTTAATATGATTTGGTCTGTTATTTTATACGCATTGTCCACTTTGTCATGTCATATTTTGTTTCATTGTTTGGTCCAAGGTTTGCTGGAGCAAGGAACCCTGTAGCAGGGCTTCCAGTTCAGTTTATGACACCAAAGGATGCTATTGCAAATTGTGCCAATAGGACAAGGACAATGGCTCAGCTCGTTGATCTTCACTATGCTGGTGCTTCTAGGGGGTGTATGACATTTATTAGATCTTTTGTTTGTTTCATTGTTTCCCCGTTTGGTTGATCATTAGGTCAGTTGAGTCTCGACTATACGTGTTTGTCCTCAACACAGGATGCGAGGCATTTTTGCAGTGGTTTCATTAGGTCAGTTGAGTCTCGAAGCCCATGGTACTACACGTCTTGCAAAATGTGCAAGATGAGTTGCTCAACTAAGGGGAGTAAATACTGGTGTTCGAAGCATTGGGAGATTTCTGAAGATCATGTCACAATTGGGTATGAGATTGGTTGTTCCTGCTCTTTTTTTTTGTAATGATTGTAGATTGTTGCTGTTTTATTCTACAAATTTTCCCGAAGTTACAGTCTGTTTTTTCTCTCTCCTTGATTTGTCCAGGTACAAGATTCAGCTTATTCTGAGAGATTCAATCGGTGAAGCCCCCTTCATTGTGTTTGGTGCACGTGGCAACAGTTTGGTTTGCACCTCAGCTCCACAGTTGGCCCAGAGGTCCCACATAGGCCAGGCGAGCTTCCTCCAGAGTTGAGCGTGTTGTACGGCTATTTGTAAGATTCGAGGTTAAGTTGTCAATGATGGGTTCTAATGGCATGTTAACGGGGCAGTTCAGTGTCCTTTGTGTGATTCTTCAGCATAATCATGCAATGCAAGCACCTGTACCCCATGCAATCGAAGGAGCTGTGAACAATCATTTGCCTTCTCTACCTTCTGAGAGTGATGGCAATCACATCTTTGATGTATCATTGTTCTCGTTGCCTTCACCACCTTCAGGATTTTTTCCTTTCAAGTTTTGTTTGAACCTTGACAGTTGCTTTCTGACATTTGATGTCCTTGCTATTTTTTATGGTTGTGTGACTTTTGGTCTCTTTGTTTTTGTCTATGAAAATAAGTTCCTCAAAAGCTAAAGGAAAGATATCAGGTCCATTGTTGTATGAGAATTCCAACCCTGCTTTCCAAATTGGTCATGCAACACCACAAGTTTTCAGGTGCATTTCTCTGTGGGCTATTTTGTGGGATTGTGTTCCATTGATTAGCCATGGTTGAGAAATGTGTTTTGGGTAAAAATAAAGTTTCGCATATTTTTTGTTTTCTTCAGTAAAATGAAGGGTCCATTGGTGATCAATGAGAGGGTTTTCAAAGTTTTGAAGCTCAGCCTTTGTCTGAGAATGTTTCGGAAGAGGTCTTTGATGTAACTGCCACTAATGATCGACCACCAAAACGAGTTGCTGTGATGTCTGCTTCAAATGGTGGGGAACAAGGCATGGCTAATCAAGTGAACACTATGCCACCGGTTTTTGGTAATGTTGTTGATTCATTGAAGATGTCGAGGACACCTAGTTTACCACTACAAAAGGGGGTTCAGGGATCAAAAAGTCAATATGGAGATGGATCGTTGGTTCCACCTGCCTCTACTATTGGTACACCTGAAACTGCTCAGAGTAAAATATCTGTCACAGAATCATCAACCTCGCCGTTTACTTCCCCGTCAGCCTCTCTGTGAGTTTGCCACTTAAAAGTTGCTCTCCTTGGTTCAATACATCTTTCTTTCTTTCTGTTATTTATATATTTGTTTGTGTATTTATTTTGTGATTCCTTTACAATATACCAGGTTGGTGTCTCCATTGGCAAAGGTAAAGGTAGAGAAGTTAGATGCTTTAGAAATCAAGCAAACTGGTGATGCTCTTCATGCTAATGCGCCATTTACAATTGGGAACTCAAACTCCCCATAGAGCTCTTCGAACCATTCTTATGTAAAGCGCCGCCTTTATGAAAACTAAGGTATTTTGTTTCCAAAGCAAACTTTTTTTTTAATATTCAAATATAAACCTCTCTGCAAACTTGTTGGGGGGGGGGCTTTTTTATTTTTGGATCATGGTCCACGTTTAAACCTATGGTGATGTAATTGTTTCCTTGTGCTTTTGTTTGCAGGTGTGAGGTCTGTGGTTTTTTGTGAATCAAGCTGTATTTTGTGGAATGGTGCGTTGGGTGCCTATGTCACCAATTAGGAATCTGTCATTTTCCAGTTTGATTTATCTATGGCCATTTTTGTATGAACAGATGGCATGCTGATATAAAAATATTATTATGTGTGGCATGTTCTGTGTAAATTATTGTGTTATGGATTGGTGTTGGTTAATGCAAAGGAGTTTAGGTATTCAGATTCTTTCTAGTTCTCAGACAAATTGGGGTGACAAGAATGTTGTTGTCAACCTTCCACTTCTCAGACAACCCCC